TACCACTGAGCCTCATCCCCAGTCCAGAGGTTTCTTTCTAGAAGTGGTGAAATAGTTTTAAGAACAACCGTGGTGATAGCTATGTAACTGAATTTACTAAAAAACTCTTGAATGGTGTACTTTCAATGCATGAACCATATCATATATGAATTATATCTCAAAGAACCCAAACACAAAAAGCTGCATGGTGTATAATTCTATTTACATAAATGTCCACAACAAATGTCTCCAGAAACAGAAAACGGCTTAGTTAGCTGGGGATGGACTGCAGATGGTACAGGGTTTCCTTTGGCAATATGAAAATTGTTTCTGATGATCGCTGCAAAACTTCATGAACACATGAGCAACCAATGGGGTTTGACTAGAAGGTTAATTTTAAGGTATAAGAATTATAGTTTGGCTTTTTTTGGAAATAGAATTTAACCGTGTAGTTTAAACTGGCAGGCTAGCCTCAAACTCAAGGTGATCCTCCTGCACTCAGCCTCCCCAAGTATCTACAATTATAGGCATGTACCACTGCGACTAGCCCAAATTTTCTTTTCACCTTTTACTTTATAAAAAGTCCTTTCATACAGATATTTTTAAAAGTCAATTTCTACTTAAATGTATGTAAGCATTTGCAAGTAATGTATATGCTGAGATCATGACTAAGTCACCATTTTGCTGTTTTTATTTGGTATTTATTTATTTATTTATTTATTTATTTATTTATTTATTTGAGATAGGGTCTCACCGTGCAGTTTAGGATGGCCTTGAACCCACTACAGAGCACAGGCTGGCTCTGAATCCACAGCAGAGTACTAGGATTATAGGTGTGCACCTCCATGCCCACCCTCACTATATTTAAACATCAACCATATATATGTGTATATAGTTTATGGTATTTAATCAATTTAAGTAAAGACTGGGTGTGGTGGCACACACCTATAATCCCAGCACTTGGGAGACTGAAAATAGGGTAATTATAAATCCAATCTCTGTGATGAGACTGTACTAAATACATTAAAAAAGAATAGATAAAAATAAATCAATTTAAGTGCAATTTTAGAACAAGGAAAAACTCTTTTAGCCCCCTTTTAGCTACAGGCCAATTTTTGGCAGCAGGTCAAATACACCTCAAGCCAAATGGGAGAACAACAATCCTGTAGCATGATTTCAAAACAGCCAACATGAAAATCCTTCAGACTAGACGGCTTAGCTGCAAGATCTGAGACAATTTCTGTCATCTCAAACGAGCAACAAATCTTTAGAAAGCAAATTCATATTCTTGGGATGGCTCCTAGGAGAATGTGACACTGTATTTCAACACCCTGAACTGAGAAAGAGGGAAATGTGTGTTGTTTCAGCTCAAGACAACAGACTATAAAATGAAAACCCTCAGGTACCTCTGTAATAGAAAATCATTTCTGGAAAAATGTTTAGCTGCGCTTTCCACATATCTGCATTTGACATCAACTGCACTTGTAACAATAAAAGCTGCCTTATCACAAGCTTGTTTTGCTTTGTATTGTGTGTAGCACAGACCCTACTTATCTTCTAAAAGAGCTAGGGTAATTATTATTATTATCAATAATTATCATAATTATCGTTAATTACCAAAATATCACAGCAGCTATAACAGTGCTGCATGCTTTTTTTCATCAAAAATTTTCCCATGTTAAAAATAAATACAATAAAATAAAGTGAAAAATACTAAAGGCTGCCAGATAGCTCAGTGGGTTGAAGGATTTTTGTTTGTTTGTTTGCTCCAAATGCCTTCAGGACAGGTTTGGCTGGCTGGAGTTGTGGGAATCAAACCACAGCAACCTGAGTCTGACTGATTTGTTGAAGCAGCCACTGCAAGAACTGAGCTAAGGGGCAGGCCCCCCGCTCAGTGGGTTAAAGTGCCTGTTTAGATAGATGCCAGGACTGGGTTCAATCCTGGGCGTACTGTGCCAGCCCCGCCCCCGGGGCGCACTGAGACAGTGACTGAGATTGGGTGTGGTGGCACAAGCCTAGAATCCCAGTACTTGGGAGGCTGAAAATGAGAGGATCACTAGGAGTCTGACCTGTGTAGGGAGACCCTGTAGACCCTGTACTAAATACATTAAAAAAAAAAAAAAAACCACTAAAAATTTTTTCTCATGGCATTAAAATTTTAACATTATTAATGTCATAAAATTCAATCAAGAGGATAGAATAACCACTATCTTCCCTGGGATAGTTTTGGTCATTAAAAATAATTATTATACTAAGCAAACGATATACACTAAGTAAAGTACATATGCAAAGCTTGACCTTATTCTGATTTCTCCCTAGATAAAATGGCTACAATGAAAATGATAGATAATAATAAGCACTGACAAGGACACAGAGAAACCAGAATCTTCCTACACTGCTGGTGGGAATGTGAAGTTGTACAGCCCAACTGTCCATCACTATACACATTTCAACAAGGATAACACTGAAAGCATTATGCTATGTGAAAGAAGC